CCTCCTCTTCCTCCTCCGGTGTTCTTATCAATGGAAGGCTTCTAGAAACTGCCGCTGTTCTTGGCCCTTCCTCAAATGGCCCTCGTGTCATTTGTGATAAAACAGAAAAAGGTACAGCTGTCCAGGAAAAGCTCAGGAGAAAAAAAAAGTGACCAGAACCAACCAGGCCACAGCCATCACCTGATCTAACCCACAGCCATGGTGGGATGTGTGATTTAAAGACACAGCCTCATTTCAATGGCATCATAACGTGGAAAGAGGCATGGTGAGCTTTAAAATGGTAAGTACTACCCAGGGGCAGTGAGGGCTAAGTTTGTGGTGGGCTCTAACTCATAGGCCCCCACGCATTCAGCTCAGCAGCGGCCACTCCCTTGGCATTGCTCAACTGCCCCCTGACTCCTTGCAACCCAGGGCATCGCCCTCCTTGCAGGGCCAGCTTGGGTTTATGGCAACAATCGCTGCTCCTGCCAGACATGATCTCAAAGCCATAAAGAGTTTTACAGTTTCACTCTTCCCAAGATAAGGCTGGGGAGCCCTTCCCAAGGCCGGGCACAATCTCGGCGCTCAGGAGGAGGGGCTGGGCGTTGGGGACTGGTACAAGTTTTATGGCCCCCACTTCTCTAAAAATACCACGTTCTCATAACCTTAGCCTGAGTGTGCTGGTGAGGTCTCAGCACCTGGAGTACAGTGACAATCACTTGTTCTGGCACTCATTCATTCATTCATTCATTCATTCATTCATTCATTCACTTACTCATTTGGAATAGTGTGTGGGACACAACAGCTTGTGTTTTCTTACCATGCCACATTGTTTTACCTATGGATCTAGACAAGTTGCTTCCCTTCCTCTACATAATGAGAATTCATTTAACCTCCCCTCAGCCTCACTGAGGTCCACATAGACAGCGAGCATGTGTAGCACATAGTAGGCCCACAACAAAGGAGCCGGAAACCTTTTACTTCACCGTTGGCGTTCACCCTGGTTGCTTTTGTTGGACCCTTGTCCCAGCCTTTGTGCAGTCTGGCCCAAGACAAGCCCTCACCCTTCACCTCCTTGCTACCCACACCCATTTAAATGGGAGCAAGCCCCCGCCGCCGCCCCCGCCGCCGCCCCCGCCGCCTCCATCATCAACACGCTTAAAGTCTTGCCTCCCATCCAGTCAAGATGTCAGAACACTTCCAAACCTGGTCCCCTGACTGCCTCTGTCCCCCCACATGGCAGCTCCAGCCTCTGGCAGCTGCAGCTGCCCCTGTGGTTTTTTGCCTTGAACATCTTACAGGTGATCCTGGGGATTCCGCCGAGGCTGCCTCCCCCCCCCTCCCCCAGTGCATTGGCGATGTATGTTGGTGGCACTGGTAATCGAGTCTCTCTCTCCTTTCCTTTTCCCCTCCCCTCTTTCTCTCTGACAAGGTTTCTTCCACCATGCAGCCCCAGAGTCTTGACTCACCTGCCTCAGCTCCCTGCGTGCTTGGATAACAGGCTAACACCACTCAGCCCAAGTCGGTGGGGACGTCCCATCTCCAGCCCCAAGACTTGGATATTCAGGGCCTCTGTAGGCGTTCCATTGACGTCCCGAGTGACACAGGTCAAGCTCAACTCCCGCCAGTGGCTTGTCCACTCTTCCTCACCTCATCCCAGGGCGCCAATACCGCCTTGGCTTGGTTTTTCTTCTTCGTGCTCAGCAGCAAGCCCCTGATCACTCTCCTCAAACATGATCTTCTCTCACCACCGCCTGTATTTGTTCTCTGTTGAAATCTCTGATATGGCCGAGTAATGTGCATTGGATGCCTCTGCCCTGCAGTGTTCTTAGGTCAGAAGCACCGGCCTGACGTGACTGTGTCTTAACGCCAGCTGCCAGCTGCCTGTATTCCTAACTAAGAGCCAACTCACTTATGTTGTTGGCTGAATTCAGTTCCTCATGGACTGAGGTCACCATTTCCTTGCTGTTCGCCAGCAAAGGCCACCTACGTTCTTACTATGGGGTCCCCTTCATCATCCCTCCCATACTTCTTATTTATATGCTGGAAATTGCTCCATCTCCTTCAAGGGCTCACTGATGAGGTCAGGTAGGTTTCGAGCCTTAATCAAGCCTGTAAAAGTCCTCACTCTGTAGCTAGAAAAGACGGCTCAGTGGGTAAAGGCACCTGCCACCAAGCTTGGTGATCTGAGTTCATTCCTAGGGATTCACATGGTGGAAGGAAAGAACCAACTTCAACCAGGCGGTGGTGGCGCACGCCTTTAATCCCTGCACTCAGAAGGCAGAGGCAGGTGGATCTCTGAGTTTGAGGCCAGCCTGGGCTACAGAACAAGTTCCAGGACAGCCCAGCCTACACAGAGAAAGGCTGTCTCAAAAAACCAAAACAGGCATACACACACACACACACACACTCACACACACACACACACACACACAAATAAATAAAATGCCATAATGTACATGGGTATCACATACACACACACATACACCCATGCACACAATAAATAAAATGCCATAGTGCACACAGGCATCCCCCCCACATACATACACACACACATACACACACACACACACACACACACACACACACACACACACACACAGAATGCTGTGGTGCACACAAGCATCCCACCCATACACAAAATAAATAGAATGCCATGATGCACGCGGGCATGCTCCTACACACAACAAATAAAATGAACTTTAAGAACATTTGTAAGGAAGTCTTCTTGTAGCAGGTAAATGAGTGACAGGTTGAAGAATGAGGGAAGATGTGAATGCAGTGGGGCAGGAGTTCCGGGGCCTGTTTTAGAATTCTCCAGCTCCTCTCTCTCAGACCATGGCCTGTCCCTCACCGGCACCACTCCCAAGCTCGCCGATTCCATGCTGTGTCTGTCACACAGACTGTTCTCTGCACAGCAGAAGAGGCCTTTTAAACACACGAAGCCGGGGCTGGGAATGAAGCTCAGTTGGCAAAGCGCTTGTCCAGCACATATGAGGCCCTGGGTTCAGTGGCCAGCACTGAATGAAACAGGGCTTGGTGGCTCCTGCCTGTAACCCCAGCACTCGGGAGGCAGAGGCAGGAGGATCAAAACTTCCAAGTCGTCTTTGACTATATAGCAAAGTCAAAGCCAATCTGGGTTATGTGAGACCCAGTCTAAAAAGGGGCCGGGGTGGTGCCGCCAGATAGCTCAGCAGGTAAAGGCACTTGCTACCACACTTAATGACTTGAGTTCAATCCCTGGACCCCACATAGTGGAAAGAAAGAACTCATTCTAGCAAAATTATTCTCTGACCTTAATATGCATACCATGTCATGAACCTGCAAATCACATTAGCGCATACACACACACACACACACACACACACACACACACACACACACACACGTAAATAAATGTCACTTTAAAGAGTGAAAGAGCTGGCTGTGGTAGCAGCACCTTTAATCCCAGCACTCTGATGGCAGAGGCAGCAGATAGATCTCTGTGAGTTCAAAGACCAGCCTGGCCTACACAACAAGTACCAGGCTACACAGTGAGATCCTTCAGAAACAAATAATAAATGAAAAAGAAAGAAGGAAAGAAAGAAAGACAAGAAATGATGAAGCGGGTTGTATCACTGCCTTATTTATATATTTTAAATTTTATTTTTATTTATTTTATTTTGGTTTTTTTGAGACAAGGTTTCTCTGTGTAGCTTTGGTGCCTGTCCTGGATCTCGCTCTATAGACCAGGCTGGCCTCGAACTCACAGAGATCCACCTGGCTTTGCCTCCTGAGTGCTGGGATTAAAGACATGCACCACCACCCAGCCTCACTGCCTTATTTAAAACTTCTAAGAATCTGGAATCTCACTTTACCACTGCACTGCAAATAGACTCCAAGACCTTTCTGAGGCTCTAGAAAGCCTAGCTGCTCTGGCCCTATCCCTAAGATCCCAGAAAGCACCCAGCACATCTTGGGCAACCTCTGAGTACTTGTGGAGGGAACCTTCAGGCTGTTCTCCCTCTTCTGAAGCTACCATGGTGCACACATGTCTTGTAGTACTTTTGTCTTCC